AAAAGCATCAATTCTTCTATGGTAAAGCAGATTGTCTTCCATAATGTGGGTGGGGCTCAATCAAACAGAAGACTTTAAGAGCAAAAAGGGAGTCTCCTTAGAGTGTATTCTGCCTCAAGACTATAAGTGGACATTATGCCAGAACACTCTTACTCATTACTCTTCTTGTAGCCTGACCTGTGGGTTTTGAGAGACACAGCCTGTAGGAATCTTCAAACCATGACTTGATTTAGGACTTGCCAGGCCCCTACAATCTTGGAAATGAATCCTTGAAGTCAATCTCTTTCTCTTCCTCTTTTTCTTGCCCATCTATCTTTCATCTACTGCCTATCTACCTCTCACTGATTTTGTTTTTCTAAACCCCTAAGACATTAGATTCCCCGCTTGGCTTACAGAAACTGAGAGAGAGAGTGGGGACTCTGAAATCACTTCTCTTCCAATGTCAACATGTAAACTGTCCCTGACACACATTGACTGTCCTCTGTTCCACCACTGTATGCCCTTAAACTTTGCCACTTATGTTGAAATCTGGAGCTCTTCCTGTGTCCAACCTGTTGCTCAATCATCCAAACATGACTTTGGGATGGAGCTGGGGTCTGGGAGAAGGAAACCCTCTAGGAGAAGATAGAAACGGGCACTCAACAGGAAGCTCTGCTGCCCACGATACTCACTCCCAGGATGGTCACACGTGTCTTTCCTGTGAAGAGCTAAGAGGCCATAGTTGAGGGATGAGGTGGACAGAAAGGAAGGGCAACCAACTGGACAGACCAGGAGCTCTTCAAAAGGAAGGATCCTGTCTGATTCCTTTCTGTACTCTTGGAGCCTAGAATTTAGTAGATTGTCGGAGAATATTAGTTAAGCTCATCTGTTATCAGAATTGGACCTGCCTTTCCTGTGGTTGTGTATTGAGAGGGCAGAGAAAAATAGAAAGGAGATTTCAATGAATCCCAGCAACTGAGAAAGGACTTTAAAGAGAAAGGAGAAGACAGCAGTAATCATGGAGGAGACAGATAAATTCAGTGTCCAGCCCCAGGATGGTGGCAGAATCCATCTGAGACAACAGTAATGATGCCAGGACCAAGTGTGCAAACATATCCTCAATGGTGGAGGTATCAGCAGAACTGTTTCCTTCATCAACAGACCCCAGAATCCAGGTCAGTCATGTTCTGAAGACTCAAAACACATTTTACATTCCCAGGATCCTCTATGTTCCACCAGTTCTGCTCGTGGTTCTTCAAACATCACCTGGGAGTGGGAAAGGAATGAGAAATCTACCTTCCTGCAGCCTTCCATCAGCTGCTGCTGCTCCCCCTGCAAAGATGGTTTTGACATAAATTCCAATGGGGCCATAAATGCTGTCCTTTCCCCCGACAATGCTGAAGCCCAGGCCCTGAGGAAAGAAGAGAAGAAGGTGAGATTTAGGAGTGCCCATGCACTCAGCATGTTCATCAACCATCAACACTCATGGAAGCAGCAGTCAAGAAATCAAGCGATGTATTGATGCACAAGACCTCTTTAAAGTGTTGAAAAGCAAAGATGTCAATTTGAGGACTAAGGTGATCCTGACCCCAGCCATGGTATTTTCAGTAACCTCACATGCATGTGAAAGTTGGACAGTGAATAAGAAAGACTGTAGGAGAATTGATGCATTTGAGTTATGGTGTTGGAGGAGAATATTGAAAGTGCCATGGGCTGCCAAAAGAACCAACAGATCTGTGTTGGAAGAAGTGCAGCCAGAGTGTTCCTTGGAGGTCAGGATGGCCAAACTTCGTCTCTCATACTTCAGACATATTGTCAGGAGGGGCCAATCCCTGGAGAAGGCTATCTTGTTTGGTAAAGTGGAGGGTCAGAGGAAAAGGAAAAGACCCACAATGAGATGGGGGTCACCCAACACCACCACCTAATTTTTAGGGTGGAAGATATTGAGCTTTGCTCATCAGAAAGTGAGGCTGTTTGGAGAAGTCCATATAGGAGACAATCACTCCTTGGTGATTGTTGTTGTTAAGTGCTGTCAAGTGAGTTCTGACTCATAGTGATCTTGTATAGGGTTTCCAAGGAGCAGCTAATGGGTTTGAACCACTGACCTTGTGATTAGCAGTCCAGTACTTATCCTTGGTGATTAGAGAAACCCTAACCCCAGCATTAAAGGAGCTCTGGTAGCATAGTGGTTATGAATCGGGCTGCAAACCTTAAGGTCAGCAGTTCGAAACTACCAGCTGCTCCGTGGGAGAAAGATGAGGCTTTCTGCTCCCATAAAGGTTTACAGCCTCAGAAACCCTGTACAGGGTTGCTATGGGTCAGAACCGATTCGACAGCGCTTAACAACAACCCCAGCATTGCTGACTTTGCTCTCTTGGCTGAGCTCTCATGAGAGAGTGGACATAGGGGACAGGGAACTAGAAATCCAAGTGTCTGATGGGGCCCCACCCCTGGCAAGGCCATAAGCAACCACCAGATCCTGCCCTCATTCCACACACCAAAGTTGTATTAGATGATGTCTCGGTTCTCTAGGAATTCTATAACAAAATACTACAATGTGCATGGCTTTAAAAAACAGAAATCAAATTCTCACCATTCCGGCCAAATCAGAGTCTGGGCTGTGTCATTTCCTTTCAGGAGGTTCTCTCCTAGTTTCTGGTGACTTGGAATTTCTCTGCTGCTTATAGATGCATTTGCCTCCTTTACCACACAGCACGCCCCTCCCGCCCACGGCATGTCTATCTGCTCTTTTTATAAGAGATGACTCAGGAAGAATTATGTTTAGGACCCAGTGGCTCTGATAAGAAGTCATAAACATAACAAAAAATTCTATTTCCAAACAAGGTTATGTTTCCAGGTATAGGATTTAGGATTCCAACATCACTTTTGGGAGAACACAATTTAATCTGTAACACATGGATTAAAAAACCTGTCCTTTCAGCATTTTAGTACCTGTGTTGCTAGAAATGGTCAAGAATTTTGCAGCAACTTCCTGTGTTTTTTTTTCAGATGTTCTCTTAGTGAGCAGGTTGACACCACATATGGAGTAACATCTTTGGGGGACAGTAGAAAGAAACATTCTAGATGCACCCCCATGGCCACAATGAATAAGGAAGAGTGAAGAAGAATCATTGCATTTGAATTATGGTTTGGCATGGTGGTGGTTATGTGTGGAGTCAGTTCTGACTCATAGTGACCCTGTATGGGGTTTCCAAGGCTGTAAATCTTTACCGGGGCAGAACATGTCTTCTTTCTTTTGCAGAATGTCTGATAGTTTCAAATTGCTGACCTTGAAGTTAGCAGCCCACTTTGTAACCATTACGCTACCAGAGCTATTCAATACACCATTGACTATAAGGAGAAGGAAAAAGTCGGTCTTAGAAGTACAATCAGAGAGCTCCTTACAAACAAGGGTGGGGAGACTTCATCTCACTTACTTTGGACATGTTATCAGAAGGGACCAATCCTTGGAGAAGGAGGACATTTCTCTTGATAAAATGGAGGGTTAGGGTAAAAGAGAAAGACCCTCAGTGAGATGGATTGATACAGTGGCTGTGACAATGGGCTCAAACCTGACAACGATGGTGAAGATGGCGCCAGATAGAACAGTGTTCCCTTAATGGGCTCAAACCTGACAACGATGGTGAAGATGGCGCCAGATAGAACAGTGTTCCCCTCTGTGATACATACAGGTGCTGAGTCAGAGTCAGCTCGATGACACCAACAATAACTACAGGGCAGACACTGGGATGAGCTTCGTCACCTAGAGTAAGCTAGAGCAGCTCTTACTTTTCAAGCAGTTCCAACTGACAACACAAATCACGATGCGTCATTGTTAGGTGCCATGCAGCCTATCCTGGCTCACAGTGGCCCCAGACGGCAGGGTTTTTGAAGCTGTCCTGGTGTGTGCTGTGGGTTAATGCGTCAGACTGCAAAGTCATTTGAACTACATGGTTGGTGGTTCAAGCTCACCAGCTGCTCCTTGGAAACTCTCTACAGGGTCGCTATGGGTCGGAACCAACTTGACAGCACACAACAAAAACAATCTTTATAGAAACAGATCTCTAGATCTTTCTTCCACAGAACTACTTGGTTCTTTCACAAAACTGCTTGAACTGCCAACCTTTTGAGCACTTAACTGTTGTGCCACCCAGACTGAGCTCAAATCACCATTCTCCACCCTCATCTGTCCCTAGACATGACAGCTACTCCAGAACTGGTGTTGCTTCAGTATCTTCTGTTGGGGTTGGCTATGATGGTCTTTGCTTACCTTGGCCTGGCCCTTCATCAGCACAATGTTGGAGATGACGGAAGCCTGGAAACCCCCAGAAGGCTGCATGAGCTGAACTGTGCTCAGGGACCGCGTGGGTCTGGAATTACCCTACAAGAAGGAAGCAGATGGACTGAAGGTGAGCCCCATGTGCCTTACTGAGAAGGGCCAAGGCCCAGAAAGGAGAAAGGCCGAGTCCCCTTTCTCCTAAGTGTACACAGCATGAGGGCAAGAGTGTGGTCAGTGAGGTATAGGTGGAGGTCAGATGAGGAGGGGCTTGCTCCAGTGGCCCCAGAAGTCATCTGTGTAAAGCTGCTGTCTCTGCAGACCAGTAACCGCCAGCAACTCATTCCACTAGTCAAGGGTGATGTCACAGGTCATGTTGCCCAACAAGACAGCAAGTTCCTTTGGCCAGTGTCTCAAGCAGAGGCTGGAAGTCACTGCCAGGGACGCTGTCTCACAGACTGTGCTGAATTCAAGACACTTCTACTAAGTCCTCCTTGTGCCTGGCATGGGGCAGTGGGAGACGAGCAGGTACCTGATGATGTAAAAACTCAGAGCGCAGATTCCAGGAGTAGCAGGCAGGTGATTGCTTTGCAGAAGCAATGTGTGCCAAAGAGAGGTGCATTCTGGGTGCCCCAGAAAGCTGCCCTGGTGAGGACAGTATGGCCTTATGGGTAGAGTCTGGGTTCTTCCCCTGGCTCTGCCAATTATGAGCTGGTGATCTTGGGAACGTGACTTTACATCTGTATGCCTCAGTTTCCTCATCTGTAAAATCATACTGCTAATGTGTTTGCAGAGTCCTGGTGTGGTGCTATGGGTTAATGCACTGGACTATAAGGTTGGTTTGAACCGCAAGGTCAGTGGTTCAAGCTCACCGGTCACTCCTCAGAAACCCTACATGGGGTTGCTATGGGTAGAAACTGACTCGATGGCACTTTACAACAACAACAATGTTGTTAGCAGTCACTGAGTCGGACCCCAACTCATGGTATTGTTCTTGTGTGCAAAACAGAAAGAAATACTGTTTAGTCCTGAGCCACCTCCATGAACGGCGGTGACTGGGATCATTGTGAGCCACGGGTTACACTGGACTGGGAAGTCACACAGAACTTGGACCCAATTCTGCATACTTTGGTTTCAAGACGTATTAACTTGGACAGCTTCTCACGTTGGCAAGCTTTCATTTCCTCACTGTAAATGGAGGCTAATGTTATAGTCTTTCTAAATTAGAGGGTTTAGGGATTATTTCTTAAACAAGTCTCTAGATCATACAGGCTAAAAGTACAGGCTTTGTGGTCATAGATATAAGTTCAAGTGCCAGCTCTGCCTCTTGTTAACAATGCGAACTTGTGTTAATTCTTTAACAGTTTCAAGCCCAGGGTTGGTGTACAGATTAAATAAGGGTTCTTGAGTTCAGAGCCTTCACACATGAGTTCCTATAGGTAACTCTTCTACTGGTAATTCTTTTAACAGCATAGAAAGAGACTAGGTGGCACAATGCTTAAGGTTTCAGCTGCTAAATGAAAGGCTGATAGTTGCATACAGCACTCCATGGGAGCAAGGCCTGGCAATTTGTTCCCATGAAGATTGTTGTTTTTGTGAGCCATTGAGCCAATTCAGACTCAGACTTTGTTGTTGTTAAGTGCCATCAAGTCAATTCTGTCCCATAGCGACCCTGTAAAGGGTTTCCAAGGAGCAGCTGGTGAGCTCGAACCACCAACCTAGCAGTTCAAATAGCTTTGCAGTCTGGCGCATTAACCCACAGCGCCACACCACCAGCAAGCCAGTGTGTCTCATGAGGTTGCTTTAAGTTGTCGCCTGGATAGAACCTAAGGACATAGAAGTAGTAGCAGTTGCTAGTGACTGGCACAAGGGGGCGCTCTGTAAATGACTGTTACTAATGAGGTGCCCTTTCTATGGTGGTGGTGACTGTGTGCCGAGGCATCGATTCCGACTCATAGAGAGACTCTATACAGCGTTTCCGATGGAGTTCTGGTAGCATAGTGGTTAAGAATCAGCGTTCCGCGGGAGAAAGATGAGTCTTTGTGCTCCCGTAAAGATTTACAGCCTCGGAAACCCTATGCAGGGTCACTATGAGTCGGAACCGACTCCAACGGTACTTAACAACACCACCACAGGGTTTCCGAACACAGGGAACAGCTGCTAGTTTCGAACTGCTGACCTTGCGGTTCGCAGTCCGATTCATAACCACTACGCTACCAAAGCTCCTTTTATAGGAGGCCATATTTGAGACAGAAGTGATGCCCTCCTCTCTAGGTTTTTCTTTTGGTCACTGAGAAATCCAGCGTTTTCCTTCCTCCTGGCCAGGTTTCCCTCCCTCATCCTTACCGCAGCCTTTCCTGCTGGGCAGTCCAGTTGCTGAGAGAGTGACTTCCTGTTACTACACAGAGAATAGGGCTGCCTGTCTGTGGTTGTTGCATAGTGCTTGGTCATGGGAAACTCCACTTCTGGGCAGTAGGGATTAATACCTGAGTAGGAAGAAGGAAAAAACAGAAGAAAAATCATTTGTGTTCTCAAAATACAAAGTGCAGCCTAGAACAATCAGCCTCTGTCAACTACCAACATCCACCACTCATCACTCGGTTCTGACTGCTTAATGGGGACCAGGAGAGAACGCGGTTAGTGCGTTTATTATCTACATATACATATATGCTTTCTGGACTCTCTGCATGGTATAAATGCTTCAGTCACTCAACTACTAAAGGAAAGGTTATAGGTTCAAATCTACCTAGTGGCACCTTGGAATAAAGGTCCAGTAATCTACCTCCAAAGAAATCAGCCATTGAAACCTCTAAGGAGCACACACGTACACACTTATTCAACACATGTGAACATGGAATCACACACACTCACACACAGTTCTACTCCAATACACACGGGGCCGTTGTGAATTGGGGTTAGTTCAATGACAGTTATGTGTGTGTGTGTTTAAGCTTTCTACCCTGCATCGGTGGGGAACACAATGGACATAAGCAGTACTGGACTTTGAAACACAAGGTTGATAGTTCGAGCCCACCAGCTGTTCCAGGGGAGAAAGAGGAGCGGGTATTTTCTGCCCCCACAAAAATGTACAGCCTCAGAAATCCTAAAACAGATTACTATGAGTTGGATCTGACTTAGTGACACTTAACAACAACAATAACAACAACACTGAAGATTTCAGATGAGACTCTCACACACTCCACTCAACTCAGTAAGTGGTGGTAAGCATCTCCTGCTCATCAGACATGTGTAATTATCAGGAAGCCAAAGTCCTTGATGTTGGGGCATTTTCAATGCCCACCAAGGACAGAAAAGAGGGAGACACAGAGGGTTCCAGAACAGCTACAACCAGGAGCCTGTGGGACCTGCCAGCATAGCATTCAACTTCCCCAAAGATATAGCACGCTCATACAACATATGTGCACACAGCACACTCATG